TCCCCCCCCCGACACGCACACACAGTTACATATCTGCAGGACGCTAATCCAACCCCGCAGACACGTGCGCGTGCCAACAACGCATGTGTTGGTATGAAAGAAGGCCGCTGATAGGTCGCATTCAATCTGTTAAGTGAATAATGGTTCAAGATGCAGGTGCAATGAATGGTTTCCGGGAATAGATAAAGTTCGTTGGGGGGAAAAAATTAGCGAAGCCATGTCTGCGGGGGCTGTTCACCATGGAAGCGATCTCGTTGAATGCGAGCTTGCTGATTTAAGAGTTAGTTGAATCCATGTTATTTTTATTGATTTTAAAGAAGAAAAGAAAAAACGGTGAATCCATCTCCTTTCGTTGAATCCGAGTTCTCGTTGAATCCGAGCTTGTTGAATACCAGTTTCACTGTATAATGTACTCGACTTTCTCAATCAAAAACAGTATTGTTTTAAACAAGAGGCATCTTTGTTTCTTTGATGCAACACCGATGACATGCTGGAAAATTCAAGGAATCAAATACAATGAACTCTACTAAGCACACACTGTGTGAAAGTATTCAAATGCACACCTGTATCATCTATCATCTATACTATAACATTGTTAGCTTAACAAGTTATGTTGTAGTGTAAAGGCTAGCATATGACAACGTTTTGATTCAACAGTCAAGCACCATTACGTAGATCTATTTCAAGACTATCTCATCATGGCAATACAGATGCGGTGAAGATTGGTCTTTACCGTGGGGTGGAAGAAATATGGATGAGTTAACTTTTCTACCTTGCCTTTGCGCTCGTTTCGAGAGGACATAAGCTCCTACCTGGGTGGAATTCAAAGTTTTACAAATTCTTTTCCTTATGTAGATAATATATGCCACTACTACTAAAACTTACTTCTGCTGCTACTACTACTACTACTACGACAACTACTACGACTTCAACTACTACTACTACTACTACTATAACTACATCGAGTTCCACTACTACTACTACTACTACTTTACTACTACTACTACTACTACTACTACTACTACTACTACTACTACTGCGACTTCCACTACTAATACTACTGCTGCTGCCGATGCTACTGCTGCTGCTGCTGTTGCGCTGCTACTACTAGCACTATTAATTACCTTTACATTAATATTAATGGTTATATACAATATATGATTTGATTTGACGTACACGGTATTTTATATTCATACCACTTCTTGCCATAGCCTTCAATTTTCTCTGGTCTTCCCAATTTGTTTTTATCCCACCTTTCGACATTATGATGTGTATGTGCCAACTTTTGTTGCTATAGCTTGTAGTCAATAGATTTTCCATTATTTTTTGGTACATGTTCCCGGAGAAGCCCTTTACAGGGCGAAACGTTGAACTTATATTAAATTTGAAAAACCTACTAAGTCTCAAACCCTTTTTTTATTCCCTACTACCTACATTGATTAGTTGCCAGGGAATAACAATAAATGTGACATGTTTGTATCTCTACTGTGATGTTTCACGCCCAGATCGCTTGTTCTCCCCCAGACACACGAACACGCAGTCACACATGTGCTGAGTTCTTGCTGCCCATCCGACCCCAACACACGCTGCGACATGTGTGCATGCCAACAACACGTGAATTGATATGAAACAAAGCTGCTGATTGGTCGCATGAGATATGAACCATAGGTTAAACTAATAATGGTTCACGATGCAGGTGCCATGGATGGTTTCCAGTAGTAGATAAGGTTCGTAGCGGGAGAAAAATGGCCGGTTACTTATTTTCTTCTGAAATCCATCCAGTAATAAGATTAATTGGAAAAATGCAAAGTTTGTGCTAATTCAATAATCAACTGGAAAGGGGGAGACAGCTCCAGAAGCACTCCCAAACAGAGCCATGATGACATCACAAATGGACATTACCTACACTACTACATATTATTTCACCTGTTATGATTTCAATCCACTGTTGAGATCTGAAGTAAAATACAGTGGAAACCATATATAACAGACCCAGTAATAACAGGGATCCGGTAACAATAGGGATTTTTAAAATCCCCATTCTTTCCTACTCTTTGTCTCTATTAAAAGTTATCGGCAATAACAGGGCCTCATCGGAGCCCAATCGGTTATAGCAGGAACAGAGGCTCGTTAACAATGTGGAGAGAGACAGGGGGGGGGGGAGGGAGGGAGGGAGAGAGAGGGAGGGAGGGAGGGAGGGAGGGAGGGAGGGAGAGAGAGAGGGAGGGAGGGAGGGAGGGAGAGAGAGAGAGAGAGAGAGAGAGAGAGAGAGAGAGAGAGAGAGAGAGAGAGAGAGAGAGAGAGAGAGAGAGAGAGAGAGAGAGATAGCAAGCCAAGCCAACGCAAGCCATGCCACTGCAAGCACATGCAGCGGGTGAAGCGAGAGGGCTGCTGTGTACTGCAGACTTTGATCTAGCCCTAAGCCTTGCTACACGCACGCGTACCTGTTTACCTGTTCGTGAGTACTTGTGGCATGGGAAACTACCAATGAATAAATACAGCTGGATTAGTCCGCAATTTAATGCTTACTTCCTTTGCATTTCTGATTTAACAGGGATCAGATATAACAGGACTTTTTCTCTATTCCCACCATCCCAGTTATATCAGGTTTCCCCTGTACTCCATGCTATCACTGGAAAGTAAAGGCTATTACATAACTTACAATGTTACTCAGCAACTTAACCAAAACCTGATGGCTAGTGGCTAGCCTTACCCATGTAGGGGAGAGCATCTTCTTGAAGTTGTGCACAAGTGACACCTCATGGGGCAAGACCTGAAAAGACAACAGAGTGAAAGTCTATTTGAGAATATGAAACCAGATAAATGAAACAAGAAAAAATCCCATACAGAAATCTACTAACACAAAATGTCACTTATTCTTAAAAACAAACAGGAAGAGACTAATGCAGTTTCAGGGACACTTGAATGGACATAAAGGCTTAATCATCTCGCTATCACTGAAAAAATAGAAGGTAAAAGAGGCACAGGTAGACCAAAATCAACTAGCTTAAAGAGCTTGAGCAGATGGACAATGTGGAAATAGCACACCAATAATACATTTTTTTTTTAGCATCCGAACAGAGTTAGTTTTAGTAGAGGTTTTACAGCGCTCGTAACTGCACAAGGTCATATGAGCGCCAGAAGATTAGAGGTGTTACAAGAGAGTAACAAACATAAAAAAGGAAGAAGGGGAGATAAGGACGATAGATGTTTGATCGGAAAGAAGAAGCAAATCACACCAGAGCAGTCGCCAACCACCCACATCCAAACAGAGAAATGTGTGGCAAACCATATTTGATGGTAAGCAGCAAAACATTTTACTGGCACAGGTAAAAAAACAACTTTATCTTACCTGTTTCTTTTCTGAGTTTTTCAGGGTGTTTTCTTTAGACCACGGAACAAAAAATGAATTCACTGAGTTGATGGCCACAAGCACTTTAAACCTGATGGGAAAAAGACATAAACCAACACATCTGATAAAAGTAACTGCAGGAGAGAACAGTTTTGAATTATACACGTAACTCTAACAAGTCACAAAACTAAAATCATAATTATATTCAAAACACTAAAATCCACTTTCCAACATTTGAATGCCTTGATGGAGTGAACTTAAAACTTAACCGACAGTATCAGTAGAATAATACACATGAAGATCTTTATGTTAAGCAGTACATTTGTCGCATCTACCTTGGTGTATCACAATCACAGCACTCTGCCTACTAAATGACTTACTTGTCTTTCATTTAAAAAAGTGTGACACTCATAGAAAAGAACAATTTCCTGCTTTGAATATAATGAAATATTTGTATGCATATCAGTAGCAACCTCATATCAAGTATATATTCCCATGCTCCATCTCTTGACTAACAATAATAAACAGCAAAAATTTGGGCTTCTTTTACCTAAATATACCATTTCTAAAGCGCATTCAAATCTGGTTCTGCTAAATGAGGATTCCTATTTCTTTAGTACTTGAACCAAAGTCTTTTGACTTACCCCTTTTCAGCAGCTTGCAGTCTGAGCTCTTTCAGAAGGACTCCGACACAATCCGATGAAAACTTGAAGCGGTTGAGACCCTGACAGAAATGGAAATAACCAAAAAGGGGCCCATGAATATTCAGTTTTTAATGACAAAATCCAGATATGCACACGGTTTTCATCCTTTTGAACTTATTCTTTGAAAAAAAAAAAGCTGTCAAATTGGAAATTGTCGGAGACCATAATTAAAATAAATATTCAAGAATGTTCATATCCACCACTACAAACCTTTCACATAATTCAAGAGTAACCGGCTGTGGTTTTAAGAGAAACATGTCGAGAAAGAACCATTAAAGTTCACTATACTTTGGTTTTACTGCACATAAAAAACAAAATTTATGTCAGATACAGTACTGACTGAAAACTCTAACCCTAAAGCTGAATAACAACAAAAAATACACTGATGAAAAGAAAAGGAAAAAAAAGATACAATAAGTTATAAGAAAGAACTTCCAAACTATCACAAAATAAAACTGTCTTACAAAATTGATGATTTCATCCAGTGGAGTTCCAACATCTGCTTTCTCTCGCTTTGTCCATATATACTCTGATGTGGTCTGTAACAGATAGTAAATAAATGACAACCTTTACAACAAGTATACATTTTCTAACAATTATGAAGGGGGAGGGGAGGGTGTGTGTGTGCAAAATATTCAGTTACTCACTTCTTTTTTTTAGTAGAGGGTTTTACGGCGGTCGCAACTGCATAAGGTCATATGAGCGCCAAGGGGTGGGTGTCAACAGAGAAGTCCTTACAGGGAAACAGACTTACTCTTCTCACCTCTCTAGCTTCAACAGCACAAAGTCTGCTTCGACTATCAAGGCGCCCCGGAAATAGCGGGTCACAAGAGTGTGACAAATATACAAAAGAAGTAGAGGAAAATGACAATAGTAAGGATAAGGAAAGAAAAAGCAGCAGTTCCCTGTTGCAGATCAGTCACAGTTATGAGCGTGACATGATGAATCAGCCCATTTACAATTCTACTGTGCTTGAACGAGAAATGTCCCCCCTTTGGGAATGGCCTAAAGACACTTCAGTCAGTGGCACCGCCCCGGGAGTTACTCACTTTAACAATTTAATTCAATACAAGGCTCCTGAAGATAATGTTGCAACCAAATTCTGACAATGTATTTTAGAGGAAATCATGGCTGGAGTACCAATTTTCCTACACCAATGACAAACAACACAACCAAGGGAATTGTACGACATCAGGCTTTTTCAATCAACGAATGGCAAAGAATATCATTTTATTGAAAATCTACCCGAATCCACAACTTTATGATATAAATGGCTGACCAACATTTTCATAATATATCCAAACAAAATCAAGAACACTATTATCTTCACAGACGGAAAGTCAGTACTCCATGCTCTGGAAAACATGAATTTCGAAAGCCCAGCCTGCCTATCTGTGGCTCAAACAATCAACACCTTCCTACAGACCTATGCCGTCGACCTGACACTACAGTGGATACCTGGCCACAGCAACATCCCAGGAAACGACAGAGCAGACACCCTTGCCAAGAAGGGAGCATCACAAACACAACCACACAACCCAGTATCACAACAGACAGCCAAGAACATCATCAAATGCAACACCAGGGAACAGTGGCTGAATGGATGGGCAATGTGCAAAACTGGAAGAATTGTATTTGCACACATGACAGCCCCCAACTCTAAAGATGCAATAAATTCCCTGAGTAGAAGAGAACAAGTCACAATATTTCGCCTGCGAACACAACACATACCACTAAATTCCTACTTTAATAGGATCCGCAAGGATACCCCACCTGACTGCCCGTTGTGCGACTGCCAGGATGAAACAGTACCACACCACCTCTTTAGCTGCCCAGCACTTTGTGACCTGCGTAGCACCTACCTACCTGCCTTCCCAGACATCGGAAACACTCTATACAGCAACAAAGCACAGCTGATTAAAACCTGTCAATTCTTTGCCATATCGACAGACCGAAGGGCTAGAACCCAAAATGGCCGCTGGATCGGAAAAGTAAAGTAAAAGTAAAGTATGACATAAATGGAGAAGATTTTGGAAAGTGCATACTTTGTGTGTTAAATTTTGTTGCATATGTACAGTTGGTTTTTCAGCAAGGCTCAGAGATGGATGGCTGGATGGGTGGGCCCACTTAAACTACATTAAAAATATGCTAGTACATAATAGAAAAACGTTCCAATTCTAATTTTGGTGTGCTTCAGTTCAATTGAGGGGGATAAGAAAGAAAGGACCACTCACGTCACCCTGTAATGTCATTGTCCACCACTTTTTTATCGAGCCCCTTAATCTTGATGACACTCAAACAGTGGAAAACCTAAAACCCATGACAAAGTCAACTAAGCAACCATAGTCAGTCTCACACATACTCAGGATGTCTAACAGGAATGATGTACAAGAAAATGACAGATGTAGCCTAAATATGCACATCTCCACATGTTTCCATATAAAGTGCCCATTTTTGTATGCACATTAAGTTAAAAACAATTGACCATAAAAAAAAGGCCACCCCTCCCCTCCTCCATCCCACAAGCACACAAAGAAAGAATGAGGAAAACCCCTAGACACCAAGACACTGTACCTTTAAATCCTTGAGTTTGTTTTGATTCTGAATGCGAAAGTGACTGAGCCACTCTGCAGCGTCCATTGGCAAGTCAAAACGGCCAGGCTTGTGAGTAGATTCGGCAACCTCCTTGTTCCATCCTCTCACCCACTGACCGGCTAGTGAAACAGAAATTGTGAAAGTTCAATTATCTCCGCCAAACTTCCGGTAAAAAGTTCACTTGATGAAGAACTTTCCATAAAACTAATTCTTGGTTATTTCTGTAAAAATGTAAATAAGTCCCAAAAGCCTTTAACTTTAACCCTCCATTTCCTGGCCTGAGACAAGAGTGGGCTTTTTGGTGGGAGTAAAAACCCAGGCCTGGCACGGAGGGCAAAGAAGTTCACTTACATTACCCAAATATCCAAGAAACCCACCAGAGTTCTTCACGAAGTGGTCAACAAAAGTTCTCTCATGACTTTCTTGAAGGCCTACACTTTTTATTGTCTAATTACAATGAAGCAATGAAAAATTTGCTTTTCATCCGAATTCTTTTAAAACAAGCTTAAATAAAAGAGGAATAAATTCTAAGAACTGTGGGGGGGGGTTTATTTTAGAAATCCACTGACAAATAAAAGTTATTCAAATTTTTTGTTGAAACATTTTTTTTGGGGGGGGGGAGGATAATATCGCCAAAAAGTGGGACGTTTCGTGATGTATTGTTTCATAAGTCAGTAATGAATTAGAGTATATGAATGGAACTTCGCCTCTTCATGTGATTTTTCAATCTCTTGAAAACTTTGGGTGTTAAGGACCAATATCTGCATGAACATTGGTTGAATTGCGCGACATCGTTTGAACTGCTACCGATATGGGAGCACAGGCTTGCAAGGCATTACAAAATTAAATAAGTTTTCAACACATCTTTACTTACAAACTACTATGGTTTAATAATGAACATACTGAGCAGAAATTAGTTGAGTTTACTCCACGTGTTATAGAAACAATATAACTTTGATCTTAAAAGAATCAGCACTGTTTTTAGATCACCCCTTCTACAACTTAAAGTGGTACAGTAGTCTCTGCCTAAGATCTCACCGCTTACAATCCCGGTTCACTTAAGATCCCGCTGTTTTAAGAAAACTGAATTTTTACTACACAAAAGTCACCCCTAAGATCCTGCTCTGATTCACTCTGAAAGTCTACATTCGGCTAAGATCCCACATTTCAGATCATGATTTGCGGACCAAAAAACGGTGCTGGCACTGTTGATGAACCAAGAATGAAAAGTTGAGATCAATAAACTGTCCATCGCGTCAAAGATCAGCCACTATCGTGAATGTAATCACATACACGTTGTAAAACTCGATGAAGCGACACAATGTTTGCCCCAGACGGGATCACACCGAGTTGTGAACTGACCGACACGTTTGTTTTCCCCACACATCGCACTTACACCTAAGCTCTCCCCCTAAACTTACATCACTCGCTGGGTGGGTTGGGCCTTCACGTTCGTTCTAAGCAGGATCACATCGAACCAGGAACTCTTCCCTGGCCTTTGCAACAGTTGTCTCTACTCCCAAATTTGCGAGACAGACTGAATTTGAATAGGTGTGTTCACAACGTAATAGTGTATAACGACAGGCGGGGCGGGGGAGAACTTGGTCAGAGATGGAAAGCTAAAAATTTTCGACAGGTAAAGGGGAGGGGCAACTGGATAAGCGTAGATCTTGAGACTTATGTGATAGGTCTTCAAGGTTAACCAAGGGGTCACGTCAGTTCATTCTAGAGTGGAGGGAGACCATTTTACAGATTGTGAGCCTTAACATGGGTCACCATCTAGAATTACATTGGGGCGCCTAGGTCACCATAGATTCTTCCCTGGATTCATCGGTTAAAATCCCGGTTCCCCTAAGATCCCACATTTCCTAGCTCCCGAGCACCGGAAACTTAGGCGGAGACTACTGCACAGGGAAAACCTGCAATGGACTAATTGCTGACCTATTTAATTTTATGTAGCCAATCACATGCTGCCTAGCGATCATGCACCTTTCGCATGCTAGCATGTTTGGTTTGCGACCCAGTTTCCAGCTCTAGCCTTTTATCACGGGATGGGTGGTAATTTTAAATTGGTAGGTAAAATGTACTACACACAGGGTCCTGAAATTTTAAAGCAATAAAGGGGGCATGTGGGGTCCCTGTCGGGTCCACGTCCATGCAGCAGCTCATTTTAGTTTTTGAAAAACAGAAAAAAAATCACACAAACACGGCAATTACTCCACATCTAGAAATCTGTCGGCATTGGATGCTTGCTTGTAGTTAGTTTGGCCTTTCTTCTGGTTAGTTGCCAAGTTTCGTTCATTTTCGTCCACGGGTTTCCCCTTAACTATTCTTAGAAGACAGCTATCTCTAATCCCAAACGGCCCAAAAATTATGCCTCACGGGGAGCTCGAATTCTGACTTAAAGCGCAGCTGGCAATTGGCATTGCTAAAAATATAGTGTGTTCGGTTTATGGGGGTCACACTTAAAAGCACTATTTTGTTAACAAGAGAAGTTAAGAAAGAAACACAATGAACGGGCCTCCGCTGTTCATAATTATATCGAGAACTGAAAAATTCTCAACATACAAGATACGATAATACCACATTAACATTCAATCAAACAAACAGGAAGCACTGTGAAAAAACAATTGTTGAACTTAATCGAAACAGTTTTCCCAGCACATTAAGTATGTACTGTGCTCAGGGTAAACATGCATTCTAGTATCAGACAGACTTATGAGAAAGAAAAATCTGCACTGTTAACGGTGCTAAAAAACATTTGATGGCTCTTACCCCAAGGCACATGCACCATAATCCAGTCATTTCTTGCACAGAAATGCATTGTGTGTAAAAGAGAGCAAACTTTGCCTGCACCACGCCGACCATCTTGGAATGGAATTAAGAAAATAAATACTAGTACTAGGGTAGGAAGACAAGAATGATGCTTTATATGTCCCTTTAAATATGTTTGACAATAATAGTAAATTTATGACAGGGTATGTCAATTAACAATTCCACAAAACATCATCACACAGTGTATGTCACATCTGAGAAATTCAAAGAGTTATATTGGGGTTTTTTAAATCCGCCTTCTTTCTTTCCCTTACCAACCCTATAAAACTAGATAACATTATAAGTTTTTCAAGACATTCAACAAACAATTTTGCAAGTTCTTTAACTCTTTATCTCCGTGGGGGATAAACCCACTATGCCAGGCCCTTTCTTTGGTACTGAATCTAAAAATGACAAAAACATCACTAAATAGGTCATTAAATCAAACCAAGTGAACCTATTTTGATAGTTCTTCATCTAATGAATGAACCCCCTATAAAAGAGACCTGTTTTCTGCAATTTATTAAAAAATAATTTTAAGTCAAAGTCGTTGTAAAGGAATACATGTACGCCCAAGCGACTCACCGGCACAGGGGAAGCGGCTTGCCGGAGATAAAAAGTTAAAGCCCATTTGATGATTAAAGTTTATTTCATCATAACTGTGCAATTATTTGTGAAATTTCTTTCTTCAATATCTTTACAACTGCTCCAGTTAAGCAATGAGTTGCAGCATCAAGGAATTTTATAGAATTGGTAGCATCGGCCAGAGAATAGCAAAAAGACAAAATACATAAACCAAACAAATACACAAATTATTAATTCAAACAAAGGATACAGTACACAAATTTTGGAACAGGGTGATTGAAATTCATGTTTTTGAGATATCCATTCACTTCCACAGATGGCTTTCGCACCATTAAGCAGTGCTCATTAAAGGTGTTCATCTGAGGATAGTAAAAGCACAGAGATAATGCCAACATAAAAATTCAGGAGAAATATGACTATATAGAATTATTTTTTTTTTAATGTTATTGTGACAAATTTATGCCATCAAGCAAGATTACTGACACAGAGCAGGTTAATTAATCTTAACTTGCTAGCATATATTTTGTTAACAAGACAGGAGTTTTTTTCTATTTATACCTGAAGCCAGTTTCATGAATAAAAAAACAAAAAGATTAGACATTTAACTTGCAAATATTCTTCAGTTCATTCTAAGACAATAATAACTAGACTCTCGTGATCACTCACAGGGAAAGCAGTCTTTCAGCACATCCAAGATTCAGAGTAGCTTTTTACAATGACCTCATAAAATGGCCACTGTTGCAGTATCGGTAAAGTTACACATATAAACTCTCACAGAGAACTTATGGATACAAACCAGCCGTAAATGCCACGGGTGAATACATCCTTTGAACATAGAGTTAACCTCTGTTTCTGGAATCTTGTAAAACAATCCAACATGATCCAGCGTGTGTGCTCTCTGTCAACATAGAAATGAGATGAATTAGATAAGAAAGCAAAAAAAAAAAAACTTGTAATGACAAAATAAATCAGAAAAATTTAAAAATAACCTTTAACCACAATACTGAGCCACTTAAAGTATGACTACATTGGGCTCCATGGACAGCAACGTTCATATGTAAGCACACAATAATGTAATTCCTACTTCTACGTTGGACAGAAAAAGGACAATCTTTGACTTTGAAAAATAAAAGTGTAGGTAGGCCTGGAGCAGTGTCCTGGTATGGAGAGTTGGGGGGACACCATTCTCCTAAAAATTAAAATACATGCACCTTGGAATTAATTCAGTGGACCTCAAAGTAAAGAAGCCATGATAACGGTAAAAGTCTCTTGGAGTGTAAATCTTTGATTCTAAGGTCATCCATGAATTTACAGACGGTGCTGGTCGCTTGGAAAGTCACGTAGCTGAGCGGTCGTCCCTTTGACTATCACCAAGAGTTTCCTCTCAGGCTAACAGCTCCTGACAGTTGATGGAGCATATCATTACACTCAGTCTGTCTTTCTGCTCCCCCCTCTCCCACATACACACACATTCAAAACTTTTGTGTTCATTACTGCAGTCTGGGAATCCTTCACATAATAGTCATGTGTCGTCACATTTTCGGCCAAAGGGAGGTTATTAGAATATCAAGGAAATGAGATGATTGCATCCCTGCTTCCCTATGCACAAGTTCACGTAAACGCACGCTCCGTATAAACACACGCTAGGGAGCCCTCCGGAGCAACGTGCGATTAGGCTAGGACTACTGTAAATATTTTGGATGAGAAGATAAATTTTATTTGATTTCATTGAACCTGAGCAGTGAAGAATGAATTTTCAAATGCTTCAAAAACAATGAATTACACAAAAAGAAAAAAATTTGATTTGAAGAATAAATAAAACACACAAGCTCTAAGTACATACAAAGTAATCAAGGTTTTCCTGTTGTATAATATATTCAATTAAAGGCTGTGCATATTCCCTCTGGTTTTCCAAAAAAGACCATACACATAAGAAAAAGAAATTTATCAACTCAATTACAGGATCATCCTCGGATGTCCTAAAGACTTGTCTCAAGTTTGATTGCTTTGGTTCTGCCACGGATGAAAGACATCTGGATGAACCTAAAAAAGAGAAAGACCACAATAATTAAATTCAAATAAAGTAGTCTTCAGCAACAAGAACAACAATTATGTGGCAGCAAATTGGAGACACATGTTTTAGACCATGCAGTCGTACAGTTGGTATTAAGCGATTCAGACATCGACAAACAGAACTACAAAAACAAAGGCTGCCATCAATTTAATGCTCTACAGCTAAGGAGCTAATAGAGAGACAGCATCCTAAGTTTCAATTAATATAATACCAACTGGCAGAGTCAGGATGAACACTAACAGCAAATATTGGCTGTGTTTGTACAACATGAATATAAGAACAGGGCATGTAAATGAGTGGTGTCCTGGTGTATATTATTGTGTTAGTGTGTGTTTGTGTATGTGTGTTTTTGAGTGAGTTGCACCATGTGTGCGAGTGTGTGTGTGTGTGTGTGTGTGTGTAATTTGTTTGTGTGTGTGTGTGAGAGAGAGAGAGAGAGAGAGAGAGAGAGAGAGAGAGAGAGAGAGGGGGGAGAGAGAGGGAGAGAGAGAGAGAGAGAGAGAGAGAGAGAGAGAGAGAGAGAGAGAGAGAGAAAACATTGAATATTTTCAAATTCCAGTACAGTCGAACCTGCCTTAACGGAAACATGTGTAAAACGGAAACCTGTCCAACACGGAAAGGGAAAGAAAAATCCGCTCCCTTCCAAGGTTTTACCTGTCTAAGATGGAAAATGCTTTGCCTGCTCAGCCCTGATTTGAAACAAAACTAGCAAGTTTGGTGCCGCCAGCTCTAAACTTAATGCCATGCTGCCGGGCAGAGGGAAATAGGGATGCAATTTGAGGGTAGATGTTACCCCATCTATGTGAGCCCTGAAGATGGTCAGGGTGGTGTGGGTGTGAAATCTCACAAGTGCCAGTCTGGGAAGTGCTTGAGTCATGAGCCACCACCGAGGACTACACACTATGCGAATAATGTGCGCTTCTCAGCCACCATGGTAGCTTTCCTGGGTAGCCATAAGCCAGAGATGTGAAATTATTTCGACCCGAATTGTTGTTACATGGCAGTGGGGGGTGGCATTGGTTGACTGCTTGTTACACCCAAGGGTGGGGCTAAGGATGGAAGCAAATGAGATGCTCAAACATTTCAGTTTTAAATAGGTCAAACAGTCACAGAGTGGTCCTTTGAAATGCAAGCCCTGGCGGTAATTGGATAGGTAAGACTGCATGCCATTATTAGAGAGGATAGCAGTTGAGGTGTAAAGTTTTGACCACAAGCGGATAGCTAGAGAACGACAACTATAAATGCCATTGGCCGATTTTTATAGTTCAGCCATCTCGTTTGACATCATTGAGGGATTCCCACTTTGTCAGTCATGGTGGCCGTTGTAAACAACAATCTACAACGCTTGTAAAACATCTCATCCAGTTTTTTTCCCCGCGCAACTTTACACAGCCACATTTTGTATCAAACATCCTACACCCTTTTGGTGGGTGGTTGGCGGGTGGTCTGGTGTGGTTTGCTTCTTTCACTATCAATTTACATCTATCGTCCTTATCTCCCTTCTTCTTTTTTATGTTTGTTACTCTCTTGTAACACTTTTAATCTGCCGGCGCTCATATATGACCTTTTAAAAGTTTTATGCAGTTGCCAGCACCGTAGAACCTCTACTAAAACTAAATAAACCCTTTTGAAGCTTCAACCTGTCTTCCAAGATTGAAAATTTATATGCTGACGCTGAAATTTGGTCTGTTATTCGTTTTCTGACAGCAAAGAACACGAAGCCTAGCAACATTCAAAGGCAGATTTCTGAAGAGTATACTGAAAATGCAATGGGCGAAAGCATGGTGTGGAAATGGGTTGGCATGTTCAAAGAGGGACGAGAAAATGTGCATGATGAACCCAGGAGTGGGTGTCCATCTTCGGTCAGTGATGATTTCAAAAACAAATTTCACATTTAAGTAAGGTAAAGGAACACAGGCGTTTTACCCTTCCCTCACTCTCTTCAAACTTTCCAGATATTTTCAATGTCGCTTCTGCATGAAATAGTCACTGACCATTTGGGTTATCGAAAGGTGTGCCCACGCTGGGTACCCAAGCAGCTGACACAAGCGCATATATAAGGATCAACGAGCTGCCAGCGCATTGACATTCCTAACACGTTACAATGACGAAGGAGATGACTTCCTTACTCATATTGTGATGGGGGATGAGACCTGGTTGCACCACTCCACACCCAAGTCAAAACAGCAGTCATTGCAGTGGAAGCATACAGATTCGCTCCAGCCAAAAAAAGTTCAAGCACGCCGCGTCAGGAAAAAAAGTAATGTGTACAGTGTTTTGGGACAGGCAAGGAGTTCTTTTAGTAGAATTTTTGGGAAATGGGATGATAATTTGAATTTTTAACTCTGATGTGTACTGCAAAACACTTAAAAAACTGCATAGAGCCATTAAAAAAACAAGAAGCGGAATGCTTAACGACGGCATTGTTCTGCTTCATAACAATGCAACTCCTCACAAGTCTGCACAGCCCAAAACCTGACCCCCTCCTTCGGATGGGAACAGTTGAAGCACTCATGGTACAACCCACACCTGGCTCTGAGTGAATTTCATCAGTTCCTGCATTTGAAAAAAATTTTGGCCAGGCAGGACTTCGACTCAGATGCTGATCTCACAGGATAGACTCGACATTGGCTGACATCACAGGTGGTAGCTTTCTACGATGAGGACATTCAAAGCACATCCCACGCTGCGACAAATGCCTCAACAGGTCTGCTGACTATGTTAGTCATATATATAGAGTAATATTACCGGTTCGGTCAAAATAAGGACGAAAACAGGCACGTCGACTTTAAAGCTTTATAAATATCTCCTATCTGCCTTGCCCTAGAGACAAACCGAAACTAGCTACAGGAAGTCATGTGATTGGATGACCCCAGGAATGACCTGTTTCAGCTTGTTCTCATGTTTGAGGCCCTTACTGGGTACAAAAGTGACGCCCGATTTATTTACGAGTTCGGTCGCATTTTTTTTGTTTTCTCATGGATTCGGGCAGTATTTTGACATTCGGTCATTTTCAATTATTATCACATTTGTTTCTTTGCAAGCTTAATAACATGATTTTTAATGTTTGTTATCAACACTTGGACACAATGATAGTTTGTCTAAAGTGGTATTCACCATTTATAGCTATTTTAATGAGTATGTATCTGACCCACTCTACTACGTGGTATCTGACTCTACTACACTGGCATCTGGCTCACTCAACTACACTGGATCTGACTCGGCTACACTGATATCCGACTGTATTACACACTGGCATCTGACTCTATTACACTGGTGTCTGACTGAGTTAATATGCTGTATCTGACTCTACTATTATTTAAATTATGCACAAATTCTTTATTCTTTGTTATATAACCATTGGCTCTATATTATCTTATGTGCCCGAAGGATGAGAAACTACGGATTTTATGTTACAATCCGGGCACCCCCCCTTTGGGCAAAAACGGCGAGACTAAACGGCAAATTCTCTTTCATCCTTGACAGGGACTCATATGCAAATAACTCTCCAGCCTTCAGATCTACCAAAACGTAGAATCTAGGTCACAGGCTCCTTCATCCACAACCAATGTTAACTCTTCCGGGGGAAAGAGCTTCACGCTGTTTTTCTCAGTTGATGAAGAAAAAGCTGTCTTAAGGACTATTTTTAGCAAAATATCGCCGTAACTGTTGTTTCAACGAAAGTAAGGGAGGTTGCTTTAGGTTTGTGTGCCACTCTTTTGGGGCTAGATTTGAAAACAAAGTTTTAAACGATCTTTTTGTACTCTGGATGGACAGTGCCCGACAGCAAAAAAAAAACGTGCTGCCCGAACCGGTACGATTACACTATATATGGTGTATTCAAAATCGTTTTGATTGGGAAAATTATTTCTTTTATAGATCTAATTATTTTAAAATGATACTTACTTTCTGGACATCCCTCGTACAATGGAAATTGTAAAAATCATTTCAGATTATAAAAGTGTTGTTAGTTGTTAAAGATTGTAGCAACAATGGAGAGCGCGCACTGACCAGTCAGTATGATAATGATAGTTGAAGTTGAGTTTAGGTTTAGGCCTTGATCTAGAAATATAGATCTAGATCTATATATATATCTAGATCTAGATCTATCTATTATAGACAATACAATAAATACAGAATAATAACGGCAGACTGCTGAGTACAGACAGGACAGAGTTGGAGTCAAGAAGGCCAAGGTGGACTTGTCTTGTTTTGTTGGCCGACTTGTCGAGAAAAATGAAAATTAATGTTCGCGATCTATTGAAACCAGCTCATTAGCAGGAACAAGCATACCTTGTTTGACATCGTTCGCTACACACAGATAAGCTGTTCTTGATAATGACTTCATCATGCCTCCGGCGACTCTTACTAGTCTTTCTCTCATTCTCAATGTGTGACTTTCAATACTTTCATGCACTGCTATTCTCCCATTATTGTCAATGTGATTGGTTGGAGAACGGGAGATAACTTTGAAAAAATAACATGACCCCGAAAAGGAGCAAGGCTAGATCTATCTCTCCGATGTGACGAATAACGTAAAATACTTAAACATACTTCATTTTATTTATTTCCAAACTTGAGAGGCACAAATTATTATGTCATGTAGATCTAGCCTACAAGGCAAACGAGAAAGGCAGGATTGTATATGTGAACGATTTTATCATGGCTGTCCGAAGTGTCACATAAACACACACACACACACACACACACACACACACACACACACACACACACACACACACACACACACACACACACACGCTCGCACTCATGCACAGGTAGTGCGCGCGCGCACACACGCACACACACACACACACACACACACACACACACACACACACACACACACACACGCAGCGCGCGCGCACGCGCATAATTTTAAGCACTCATTCCACATAAGTAATGAAGAAGAAGAAGAAGAAGAAGAAGAAGAAGAAGAAGAAGAAGGAGAAGGAGAAGGAGAAGGAGAAGGAGAAGGAGAAGGAGAAGGAGAAGGAGAAGGAGAAGGAGAAGGAGAAGGAGAAGGAGAAGGAGAAGGAGAAGGAGAAGGAGAAGGAGAAGGAGAAGAAGAAGAAGAAGAAGAAGAAGAAGAAGAATTATTATTTCCCAGCACTGGGCCAACACCCTGTAACGGTATTCTTCAGAGATCTGAATCACACGGCTCGCCTGGACACGTACTAAAAACATTAGTCTGTGAGCCAACTCCTTACAGCACTCGAGATCCCCACCCCACCTTCCGATGGCGAATTAAAGTCGTTTGCTTGCCATTTTCCCTGTGAAAGCAACATTTTCGAGACCTTTACATCGATTCAAGTGTACCTATATTTGTTTCTTCCTAAATAGATCTGATATTAGATTCTAGATCTATATTTAAGTCGGTGCCCATTCGGACTCAGCCAATTTAAGTCATGCGTGCCCTTGCTAATTTACTTTCTTTTCTGTCATTTATGATTTTATTTTCACTGTCGTGATATTGTCCAGCACAGCCTTGTTCTGGTAATATTTTGGATTCCATGGTAATCATTGAAACGGAAGTTATAACAATAATTATAAAATAATTGCAATATCTTCGTTTTATTTCTGTAGAACATTTCTCAGGGGATGTATCCTATATTACATCATAGATATTTGAACAATTTGGCTTATGATATTTCCACGTTTTTGGTTATAAGATCATAATCAGGATTTAGGTTACTGCTTTTCCCCCCTATAGATATTAATTAATTAGGCCTTGTGCATTCTGTGTCCTTTGGGTTCAACAATATGGCCTAACCCTTTCATTCACTTTGCATCCTAACAGCCTTGTAGCGGCTTCTATTAAAAGCAATTGAAGGCACTTTATCTGAATCTGCAATGAAAAGGGTCGTGTGATTGGCATTCACTCTTTTTAATTGATATTTTCTCCATTCCCACCGAAACCTTAGACTTCCTTAATGAGTGCACAGTACTAAATCCTAATAATCATTTCCACATTATGTAAAGAGATATGATAACTTCGCATCTTTGCCTTCAGTCCGCTAATTCTTTGAACACAAATATAATAATTTATCCCTTTCTGATTCTGGCGCTATAACTATAATGATGATGCTCTAATTTATGGAATAAAACAGCTGATGATGACAATTAGCCTGCCCACACTGAGATGGAACCTAACGAAGAGGGGCGAGGAAGCATATTCTTATGGAGCACCCCGTCTTCCAAGGACCCCAGTTCTACATTCAAGTATTCAAGTAAAAGCAGATAGATATATATATATAATAAACACGCACTGGGACAATCCCTGAGGGCTTTTCGTCTTTCTATCACAGGCACCCCTTAATTTAGTCAGGATTTTTTTTTACGTGGACATTCTCTTCTCACCGTGTCTTTCTTTATACCACCTTTGTTTTTGCAACAACAACAACAACAACAACAACAACAACAACAACAACAACAACAACAACAACAACAACAACAACAACAACAACAACAACAGCAGTCAAATAAAACAGCCCCCCTCCTCGTGCGCACGTGTTGTCTTTTAATTGTTGTTAAGAGTTGAATTTATTAAATCAGCAACCTGGACCCAGGGTATTCCTTACAATTCATGCACGCTGACAAACATGGGGCCACGGCGCTGGGGCAATGATTTCCCTGGTACCTATCTGTCTCCTAAACAACTCTCAACATTTCCTCGTGATATCGATGCAATTAAATTTTTTTCTCGGATACAATGTATCTCTTTCCGCTATTGTATTGAAAGCGTCAGATATATAGCCCCTGTGTACTGTACAGTATTTTGATGGAATATTTCTATATACTCCAAGTATCTCGCCGTATCGTTTTAGAGTAGGGGAACAGAGATTAAAAGTATGATCAATGAAAGTTAAATGCATGTATGTGCATGCACACAGGCACGGGCAGTTTTACCGTGCTGTGAGATGATATATAGTTTTTCCCCCTTTCTTTTTGGTAAGTGTTTTACAGCGCTCGCAACTGCATGAGGTAATAGTAATATGAGCGCGCGGGATACACCAAAATAATTTCAGTTGGAAGGAAATTTTAAATTTTGCCCGGGTGGCGACCGAAGCCTACTCATTTCGATTTTAGACCTCCAGGGATCTTAACGAGCGCAACTCGCACACGGGACCTACAAGATTTTCCGCCCTTGTCCGAGAAGGCTAGGGGTAGATCTTTTCCTACCATAGGTCGGGGATGTGGCTGAAAGACAGCAGTTAAGGAGCCAAGAATTAAGTAGCAGTATAAAGGCTGCAGAAAGAGCCAGGAGCCCAGAGGAGGGGGCAAAGGAGGTGAGAGGGAAGGAGGAGAAAGTGAAGACGAAAGCTGACAACAGAACATTGCTAGAGCGCAGGAAAACAGGTGAAAGGAGACAATTTTAGAGAAGAAAAATTTTCCGTCGCTACCCGTATTCGAAACCTTTGAATAAGAGGCCAACACCTTAAGGCCACAAAGCCCCCCCTGAGATAGACAGATAGATGAATAATAGATGACGAGAGGAGAGAAAGAAAGAGGAAAAAAACCCCGAGGGAAGACCGATCTCGAATTTGAGAAAGGGATGTTGAGAGATAGAGACCACGAGGAAGAGAGCTAAAATGACAGAGATGGAGAGAGAGAGGGGGGGAGATGGAGAGAGAGATGGAGAGAGACACATACAGAGAGAGAGAGAGAGAGAGAGAGAGAGAGAAAGAAAGAGAGAGAGAGAGAGAGAGAGAGAGAGAGAGAGAGAGAGAGAGAGAGAGAGTATATTGAAAACGTAGCTTTTGTACTGTTATCCCTGTTCACAGCAATGTATTCCGGAACACTACATCGCACTTCCGTTACTATAAATTACAATCTGGAACTGGGCGGTTGAAGCATCGAAAGGATTCTTGTTGATTATCACAACTTTATCAATTTTATTGAGAATTATATGGATCTAGTGTTACAGTGCAGGTTATCCTTATAAATAGAATTATTTTTGTTTGAACTGTTTTTTCTAGATATTTAAAAGGAGTCCATTCGCTACACTCATTAGAGAGATTTTATGTAAACCTGTGGTTTTCCCTTACGAGTTTGTGGACAAAAAACCGCAGACGCCATTTTCATGATCGTAATAGTATGGCGTAGAATGTTATGTCTGTGACTGGGATCCATGTTTACGTTCAGTGATGTGTGGATTTTCTGACTTGGATGGAGTTTAAACCGTTGTATGGGATACTCCCGTGTGAGCACTTTGCAGCTATACTTGAGTACTATTATCTGTGATTATAATAGAACGTGTATAAACTCAATTTCCGGGTTTTAGTTTTAGTTTTACTCAGTCTGTGTAACAGTTTGTTTGACCAGTTCGTTAGATGCCAGCTTACTCAGGCACATATACTTCCACCTTCGATGGTTGTTTATTGTTGAATCATTACATTGGTCGCACAGCACGAAGTAGAAAGAGAAGCATACTGTGACAGATGTATAATCTGTTACGTAATGGGTCGATTATGACCCTGTATTAACTAATGACCAAGACCACAGGACACAGATGGTAATTCAATAGAAATAACCAGCACTGAGTTGTGAGTTGAGTGCCAGCAAATTTGTTGAATTAGTAACGCATCACACAGTACCGTGATACAGTCAGTAAAGCAGATGTGGCTTGATAGAGATTCTTTTGCTCTGGTCGATCGATATCTTCTAAATATTGTTGAGCAGCTAGATTTAGTTTTAGAATCTGGACTAGATATTAGATCTAGAATCTAGATCTAGTCTAGAGATCAAGGTTGGCTAGGCTCTTGTCTTAGACTCTTTTATGTCTTATTGACTCTTACTCTTCTTGTGTGTAGTGTAGTAGTAGTAGATCTAGATCTCTTGATCTACATGATCTAAATCTAGATCTAGATCTAGCCTTCTACTTCTTTTATATATAGAGCCTATCCCCTACTCTTGACTTTAACGAATGAAACTACACAATCGCCCTTAGGCTTAATATTGTTAACTAGAACCTACTAATTTAATACAGTATACGGTATACCAGCTTGGCTTGGCCTACTATTGTTGCTAAGTAGTAGGCTATAGAGGCCTAAGTAGAGACACTGTAGAGAGAGATTAATAGAAACGGTGTAACTCTTTATGTAATGTGTGTGTGTGTTTGGGGGGGGGGGGGGGGGGGGATATGTGTATGAGTGAAAGGGAGGTAGAGAGTCTCTAGAGATCTAGTGTAATCTTGAATTTAGTCCAGTCTAGGTCTAGGTCAGTATCTTTTGATTTTAATTTTAGGAGGCCTGTATTTAATCAAGATCTAGATCTACTTTTTAGTGGAATGAAACTTGGTTCTCTGGTGTTTTCTGTGGTTATTGAAATTTTAAATGAATTGGCTCTTCTTTGATGCTAAGACTTTAGTGAGTGAGTAGGGTTGCATGGCATGGTAAATAAAATTAAACACTGAAATTATAAGTGAACTCATATTCATATTATTGTATCTACATCTAGATCTAGATCTAGGTAAAAAGACTGTTGAGGGTTTGATGCTATACCATTCTTTTAATTCTTTTTGACGAAAAATGAAATGTAAAGCAGGTACTTGGTGAACTCTCTATTCGTTTGATACTCAGAGACCTTTACTATATGTATACTTTATTTACTTCTTCTTGGTATTCAGGTATAATTGTAGACCTGCCAGTACCTGCCACTCATCCAAATTTAATCAGGATATCCTGATTTTTTGCCTCAAATCTCAAGCATCCCGATTTTCCAAATTTCGATCGTGTACAAGTGTATCCCTTTTTTTTGTGTGCATCCGCTGCACTGGATTTTTCTAAAATAAAAGCTCATTCCTTTTTCTCTGTCTCAGGAAGCACCTGTTAAACTTTTTGTCAGCAGGAACTCAGAGCACTATTTTCCAAAATATGGATGTCGGATTTTCTAGTTGACTTGCCCCAAGTTGTGTTGGATCTTTGGTTGCACATGTTATTTCAACTATAATGGAAGTAGTATTGATTTGGCATTCCGACTCGGGACATTCTTAAGATCTACTTTCGCTTTTAAATTGTTTCCCCTCCGAATTTTCCGATGATGGCCTGATAACTGTTTCATCAAGGCAATTGCGACATTCAATTGATCAATATTCATAATTCTGCTGTTACTTTCAAAACAAGCTTTGTTCAAGTTCTGCTTTTAGTCCGGCCCATCATCAAGACTCGTCGGTAGAAAAAACTGTTTCAACCGTCTGTTTGCATCACAGAACTTTGGCGTGTGAGTTTCCTGTGTGTCGTGGACCCTCCGTCGATGGGGTCAACTTATGTTCACACACATTAATAGTTGAAGTGTCTTTGGAGACAAGTTACGGGTGTGTGTGTGTCCCTGACCTGATACTTCAGGATTTAAAAAAAATAATGATAACACACACACACACACACACACACACACACACACACACACACACACACACACACACACACACACACACACACACACGCACACTGGGCATATAGATCTACATGGCTATATTAATTTTAAGTCAACTTGGCAGTCATCTTGGATTGGTTGATCCCGTTGTTCAGTAAATGCTGATTTTTTCCCCCCCTTCACCTGAGACCGTAACTTTTAGATTTCATAGAGTGGCAGGTCTGTTTTATTGGCAAGTGATTGTTATTACCAAGTCTTGATAGTGTATTGTAACAAACTTGAACTATAGTAAATTATAACTTTTTCACTCATCATACTTTTTTGTGCTCTCACAGTTGCTGTTTTTTGTAGTCAGTGTTGTAGTTTTTTTTGGTGAAAATTCAATTTAAGAATTTTACAGAGTGTGTTACGTTAGGGTCATGTGGTGTCACATACAAATTCAAATTTTCCTCAGTTATCAAACTATAATGAGATTCTGAACCAGTTTATTTCTTATCTCATCCACAGGTGTCAGCTGTAAACAATGCTAATATTTGATAGAACAACAAGGAAGACATGAATCGAGATGGATCTGGTGTGTTGCATTCAGAGCATGAGTCCAGTGACACAAACACAAGTTCACTCAATAACAGTTTGAGTGAAGAAGAGTTTTCTATTGAGAGCTCAAATCTTGACAGTGGTGGCTTAAAATTGACCATCTCATGTCGCCGAAAAAGTTGTGATAATGAAGTGGACGATTTCAGAGCCGTCATGAGTCACTTGCCGCTTCATAGCTCAGATGAATCATCTAAGGACTGCATGGAAAAAGATTGTCAGGTACATCTATTTAATAAAACTTAAGATCTTCAATGTTGTGAATGATATAATTTTGATGCTTTGCCTTTTCATTTTCTCAATTATTTAAAGCGGCTTGCGATCGGAATTGCCGTGCCAGTGAGCTGCTAGCAGTGGCTCGTTCACATTCCTTTATTATGATGATGATGTCAAGTTAATGGCAATTGTGAAAACAGCCTGTTTTACAGGGAGCTTTTTGATTAGATAAAGAACCGCCAATGCAGGTTCATTTTTTTTGCTTTAATGACCAATTTAGTGGCATTATGTCACTTTCAGGTTACATACCAATAGAGGGCCCGACAGAGTGGGAAAAATCCCCCCCCTGGAAATATAGTTAAAGAATTGAATAATTCAAAGTTAGTACTGACTTTGTGATTTTTATAGAGTACTGGTACAATAAGTAGACAAGTCAAATGTTTTAATTGGTCAGTGTTTTTTCTTTATTGACATTATTTTCTATTCATTTGAATTTTACTTCTTCTGGGAGTAATTTCTTTTAGTTAGGCTTCTTCATTTTTTAAATTATCATTTATTGTAAGTTTTTATTTTTGGCCTTGGTGAGATGATTTTTAGTGCTCGGAGTGATGGTATGTTCATCTGTGATGTTAATTGATTTCTGGAGTCAAACTGCATAAAATTTGGTGTTGGTAGTCTTGTTGTTAAGCTCTTGGATTCTGAAATGTAAGGTTGTGGGTTCGAATCCCATCAAGGGCCTTACGTTCCTCTGGAAAGGCATTTTACACAAATATGTCTTACTTCACCTACTAGGTGGAATGGGTGCCTTATAGACACTGAAAGATCTTGTCAGTTTTTTAGTGTTTGAGTGCTTAACCAGGTGCTTGCACTGTATGCTTCCCAGGAAGCTGAGTATGTTTCTAAGTGGTGTTCTTGAGTCTGCTGGAGTAAAAGTAGTTGTAAACCACTTTCAATAGCAATTATTATTATATTTGATATTTTTGTTTTTATTTTATTATTATAATAATTATTATTATTAATATTATTATTATTTATTATTATCATTATCACCATTATTTTATTATTTTCGTTATTATTTTCGTTATTATTGTTATTATTATTATTATTTCATCAATGAATGTGATTAACTGAGCAAAATGTTTGTTTGATTTGCATTCAGCTGTGTTATAGTTTGCAGTTGAAAAAGAGTTTGGAAGATTTGTAGTACAGGAAGATTATATTGATCTTTCTTTTTTATTACTAATCTATTGGTGGCCTTTCATTGTGTTTTGACTTTTCCTGCAAAATGATTTAGTCCCGTCAGATTTGTTTCTATTAATAGCTCATTGTTTTTCAGAATATTTATGAAGAAATAATGTCTAGATTAATACATTCAGCTCCCAAGCACTGCTTATGAGTTCTAACAGTAGAGGAGTACACTGGTGCTTATATGATTATTTACCCCTGTACTTGTTTCAACAAACTCAAACTCAAATCCCTACATTTTGGTGATCATTTGTGTCATTAAAAGTGTGTGGGTTTTGAAAGCATACTTTTTTTCAAGTGTCAGCTTTACGCTCTAATGGGTGAAAATCAAAAGTATTGTGAAATGTTTAGTTGGAACCACCAGAGTGTTGTATCAATAACATTCTTACTTTGATTAAAAATTTTTTTTAGCAGTTTCAATGTTATTTTTTATGTGTTTTTTTTAGGAACCACGAACGGGCGAAAAATATCTTCAATCAACACCGCAGGTTGACGTGAACAGTTCAGATGTGGAAATACGACCAGAGGGATATGCATGTACTGATGATTTACCTTCGAATAATGCCATTGTGAATTCTTCAGTTGGTAAGCTGTCATCGGAGAGTGGCCATACGAAAAAGCTTTCAAGCAGCGATGTACAACCAGTGAGTGTTGTGGAAAGCTCCAACATTAACTGTGAGCCTGTGTGCATCTCAGATGTTCCTCAGAATACTATTGAGGAATTTCAGTCAAAAGAGTTTTCTTTGCCTCTTGAATCAGAGGTGACAAAGCCACAGGAGAATGTTAAAGTAACCAAACGTGGAAAAGTTTTGAACCATCCACATGTGCCTCAATCGCAGGATGTTCAAGACAATTTGCTCAGATTAGATACTTTGCCAAACGTTTCCCCAGACAGTGGCATCATTTCACTGGATGAATCCCCTTTTGGAAACGAATCTCCAAATTCTGGAGCAAATGGAGAGACAAGTGTTGATAGTCATCATGGAACTCTCCCTTCCAGTGTGGCATCAGCAAGTCAACAGTCTGACAAAAAGAGGGATCCGCTGGATAACACGGACCCCCTCTCTCATCAGCTGTCAGAGCAGCTCAATAAAAAAGAAACCCATATGGAAGTCGGAACTGTGTACTCACACAGTGATGAAACTGTACATGACAGCAGAAGACCTAGCAAAGAAAGCAACTCATTGAATGCTGCATTGCCATATCCACCTCAGAGTGGGACCACGCAAACAGCTGAAACAGTGTGTGCCATATCTAGCGTAACTAACAATGCCTCTGACACATCAAGCAGGGTCTCACCCCTGCCTTGTGCAAGTGGCATCATCGTCTCATCTCCACACAAAATAAATCAAACTTCTGGCAGGAAGAAGAGAGGAAGACCTCCCAAGACAAAGAAGACCTTATTATTGAAACACAAGAAGAGTATGTTATACAGTAGTGTTTTTGATCGAGAGGCACCACCCTGTGATACTATTGAAACAGATACAGCAGGTGAAAGGGAAGAAAAGAAAGGCAGCATTAGGAATGATAGTGTGGATGTGATTATGTGTAGGGATGTTCGAAGTTCTGATGCTTGCTTTGAGCCAGTAAAGATTGGAACTGGAAGAAGTGCTGATAAGGTTGCTCCACTCAGCGGCAAGAGAAGAGTTCTTGGAAGGCCAAAAGGATCACTAGGTAAAAAGAAAATTGCTGTTCTTGGAAAAGAAACCTTCCCTCATAAAATTGTTGAGAATAAAGATAAAAGTGCAGGTCAAATTAAGCGCCCAAGGGGACGACCGAGGAAAAACCCTGTTCCTGTTCAAGATTTTGCTGTAGGTGATATTTCTGTGCCTGTTGCGCCCATGAAAGTGAAACCCAAGATGAAACGAAAATGTGGACGTAAAAAGTTCTTTACTCAAAGGAAAAAGAGAACTGTGCCAGTACAAAGTCAGCAGGAAGCAGTACCCTTGGTTAAAGAAGGTAATACCTTGAAGAAGTCACCTTATAAAAAAGCTAAACTTTCTCAAGTTGGTTCAACACAGGCTGCATTGTCTTCATCTTCAAGAATCTCAAAAGATCTGTCTGTGAATACAGAATCAAGTGAAAAGGTTAGAGAACTTCCTGAGAAATCGTTGTTTCAAGATAAAGATAAAGACTTTGATGCTTTGCTAAAGAGTGTTAAGTCATCGATTGACAGTCAGTTCCCTTCAGAGGAAGAAAATCATGAAGTTGTGTCAAGCCTCTCTTTTGATAATCCTTTCAAAGTTGCGCATCCGCCCCCGTTTCCTAAAGTGCCTCAGCCTGCACTTGGGAAACCTGTAAAGACTAAAGCCAAGAGACCCAAGTTACACGTCATGATGAGGAGGACCAAACGAAAGAAAAAGAAGAAGCCTCTGGTTAGCAAACCTCCCTCAGAGCCTGCCCCTCCTCTAAAAAAGTTGGGTATGTTCAGTACTGTTTCTCCTCAAAGAAGATTTGGGAAATTTAGTTCTGCTCCACCTGAGAAAAGTGTGGGGATGTTTGGTTCAGGAACGTCCCAGAAAAGACTGTCTTTCTTCACGTCACGCGTTCAGCCCTCCAAGATTCTTGCGTCAAGTCGCCTCAATGTTTTCCGCTTAGGCACTGGTGTGGAAACCCAGCACAGGTCAACTGACATGGAACACTCTGATGGTTCTGATAGGAAAGGAAGAAAGAGACACCGTCTTCTATACCGCAAGTCAAAGCATAAGAACATCATTGACCCAGTTTTTGCTGCTGAGCTGGACATGTTAATTAAAGGACTTGGACATATGGCAGTATCAGAAAACCAGGCTGATAATTTCATAAGAGTTCGTCCTGGTGAAATGCCCCTACCATCAATATTTAGAGTCATTAGGATAGATGTCAATAGAAAACCTAAAGAGCGTCCACTCCAATTGGATACGGTTAATATGGATAAATCTAAACTTTTAAAAACAAGAAAAGAGACTCCATCACCGTATGATGTACCTTCATCTACTGCTTTCAAGCCGATAGGGAGTAATAGGAGTATTAGAAAGAAAAGTTCATCTGATGTTGCTCCCGAGCAGCAAGATAGTTCTTACATCAGTGACTCCAGTGACCAATGGTTGCCACCTAAGAAAAGACATCGCCTTGTGAACATTGATGCAACACAGGCACTGCCAAAGCCATCACTGCTGCAAAACAGCTCTTCTGCAGTTGAAAAGATAGAGGAACAAACTGCAGCAAACAGACGGAGGGCTAGAAAATCCAAAAAGTTTGGGCTGGAGGGCAGTAAGCAAGGTAAGATACCTTTATTTATCTATAGTAAATTTTAGGTGTCCTTTTTATACGTAGTCACACTATAGTTGACATGGTTTACAAGATAGGTAATAAAGACGTATCCCATCACATACTTATCGGGCTTGATGGCCTGCTATGATCACATTTGGGTTTGAGGAACTGTATATAATAATAATATAATAACTGGCTGTGCTAGAGACTGAACTACCTGCTGTCAGCCCTTAAACATGAGATGATGTATCTTTCAGATTTTGTATAGAGCTGAGACTTAAGTGGACTACATCTTTATTGAAGATAAGATTCAAGTGGAACTGTCCTTCTGCTTTGTGGGCTTCCATAGTTATGGTTGAAAATGGTTGTTTTTTTATTTAAAGTCTAATGTGTTTGTTTTTTGTAATGAACTTCAGTGGAAATGCTTGTTAGGTTATTTTAAAGACCTCAGAAAAAGATGGGATAAAAACAAGCTTTACTTTGTGCTGTTGTGTTCTGAGATAATACTGTATCATTTGTAATGGGATTGAAGAAAATCATGAAACATGATGAGTGAACTGGCTCATTGTTATATGTAGAGTTAACCTATCTAAGTGGTTAAAAGATTGAATCATGAATTTTGTAACAAAAAAATGTTAAGAAACATTGTTAAGCCTCTTCCCATTTGCCCTTTATTGAATGTCGATTTTACTAAATATGATACATTCGTAAGTTCAGTGGATATTGTGTACAGTTGTTTGCTAATATTCTAAAAATGAGACTGATAGTATCCTCCTGGAAAAGGTTTATTATTACGAACGGTATCTCATTTTCCCTCTGTATTCAATAGCCTTTCAGGAAATCCCGATATCTAAGACTAGAATGAAATCTGGTAGATGATTATATTATAAGCAGCTAAAAAAGACGAAATGAGAGCTGTCAAAAATGAATTAAGTTATCTGAATCATAATATGGAACTGCTTGTAAATGACACTGCTCTTTAAGGTATGGGGTGTACTTATAAATTGTAATATCATTGGTCTGTTTATTTTATTATGGAGACTATTTGTCTACATTATTATTTAGGTGACAAGATGGCTCCCAAGGGCCTTGGCCAACAGTTTGTAGGCCAGGAGCTGACCATTGACACCAGCAGCTACACTACAGGCGGTTCCACCAACTACACACCTTCGCCTTCGTCCTGTCCCAGTCGACTCTCTACCCGCAGCTCTACGTTGCAATCACTGTCATCCCCGTCCCCGACAGGCTCCTCAGTGGCTGGCAGGAGGCACCAGTCGAGGAGCTCATGTGTATTGACTTGTCCAGTTCATTCAATGTCCTCCTCTGTGGAAGACAAATTGACTTGTGTTGAATGTCAGCTTCTGGAGCAATCTCTCTCACCCGGTGTTTGCCGTTCGCGACCGAATTCATCGGCACAGTTACACAGCGGTTCCAGCATTCCCTGTGACCGCTTGGTCAGTAGCTGTGAACCCAGTCCAGTGCAAAAGACTTCTCAGTCTGCCATAGAGAAATCAAATACAAGGGGCTCACGGAAACGACGAAAATCATCCAATCTCTCAGGATATGATTCAGACTCATCGCCTCCCCGACTGGAGAAAACCACAGCACTCTCACCCCATCTGTATCAAGACAATGAAGTATTCTCAGAGCCCCCAGAGATCACAAACTCTCCATCTAAGACCTGCTTGTCACCAAGAAAGCTGGCAACTCGCAATTCTCTTTCATGTGCTGAATCTATTGCAAGTCCTCACTCTTTGAGGAACAAAGACGTTGTTTCACCTAAGAGGATTCTAAGACCTTCATCGTTCCCTCTGAAGTCAAGGACTGGGTCTATCTCATGTAAAACCAAACTGTGCAATAATCGGAGTAGCTCTGGTGCGAACAAGTCAGCAACTGGGAGCTCTTTGTTGTCGGAATATGAGCCATTGCCGCTTGACCACTGCACCAAACGCAAACTGGTGGAAGAAATCAAAGCTGCTATTGCAAGTGAAAGGTACGTACACGTTTACTGTAGTTTGTTAGGGGAGTTAATTGGGACATTTTGATGGAATTGCTGTGAACAAACGGTTATTTGGTGAAAAGTCAAGTTTTGTTTGAGTATATAGCCTTGTCTGACCTTGTCTGTATGTTAGTGTTTTAGTGCCTGTAAAAGGAATCTTGCACTGTATGCTTCCCAGGAAGTTAAGATTGTTTGAGAATATTATCAGGTCTGCTGGGGTATTTATATAGATTGTAAAGTGCATAGGTCTTGCCTTTGAGTGGGAATTTGCGCTTACAAAATACATACAAATGCTATTCATTATTAGTAGTGTCTGCTTGTCTTCTGTTTCAAAAGGTTTGGGGTCTTATTTATTTTTTCATGCATTTTGGGTTGAAGGTGGGATTAAGGTATGCTTGCCTTATCTAGTGTTCTTGAATGTGGTTATTTCTTTGTTATTGTTCTCATGTAGTCTGTTCCATTTCAGTAAGGGGGCTCTCGTGGCATAGAGGTTAAGGTGTTGGCCTCTCATTCAAAAGGTCCCGGGTTCGAATCCGGGTAGCGACTGAAAATTTTTTTTCTCTAAATTTGTCTCCTTTCACCTCTTTTCCTGCTCTCTAGCAATGTTCTGTCGTATGCTTTCACCTCCTTTGCCCCTTCCTCTGGGCTCCTGATTCTTTCTACAGCCTTTCTACTGCTACTCCTTCGCCTCTTCTTACTGCTGTCTTTCAGCCACACCCCTGATCTTCTGGTAGGGAAGATCAACACTTACCCTTCTCGGACAAGGGCGAAAAATGTCGGAGGGCCCGTGTGCAAGTTGCGCACATTAAAGATCCCTTGGTGGTCTAAAATCGATAAGAGTAGGCTTTGGCCGCCACCCGGGCAAATTTCAAAATTGCCTACCAACTGAAAATATTAGGTGTGTCCCGCACGCTCATATGACCTTTATGCAGTTGCGAGCGCCGTAAAGCACTTTACTAAAACAAAAACAAACTTTTCAGTAATAGTTTTGGCCTTGGATTATCCTTTTAAAATGTGACTAATTTTTAGCTGATTAATCATGAACTACTCAACCTAAGGGATGGTGAATGGCGTGGAAGCAGTTTTAAAGAGCATGCAATTTCTGGAGGCATCCTTGTGTAGTCTGGGTTTTTTTTTTTACCCTGTTGGGATTTATCAAGGTTTATTTCCGGATGCCATTTTAAGACCAAACAGTGGGAGGTTGGTGGGTGCTCTGGTGTTGTTTTGCTCCCCTTATCTTAAACAACATCTTATCTTTCCTCTTTCTTTTTTGTGTTTGTTTCTCTCTTAAACGCCTTTAATCTTCGGCACCTACAAGTGTGACCAAATTTTGTTGGAACGTGCCTTAAAACCATATAAATACTGAAACTAAACTAAGACATATGATAACATGTAGTCAGAAATTGCCTCTTTCCTTACTTAGAACTGTCTGGCATCCTTTGTGGGGTTTCTCAAGGACTGCATGTTTGTTCACAATAACTACACTTTTGTCTCGATAAATATTGGAATTTTTTAAAGTTAAAGTTGTTAATTTTCATGTTTGCTATGTATCTTTTTTTTAGCTCGGAAAGCAGCTCGTCCAGTGATGAGGATGATAATATTGTTGTTGATCCGTCCCAGCCTTCATCCGGACAACCCCCACGCAAGCGATTCCAGCGAGTTGGGCTGTTCTCTGATTTCTACAAAGATGAAGAGTAAGTACCCCTATTTTCTTCTACCTGATTAACTTTGAGGAGTTAATTTATGCAAAACAAGTAAAAGTTGTTTATCGTCATTGCCGTTTTCACCCTGCACCAGGGTATAGGCCACGGACAAACACCTTCCACCTTTCTCTATCCTGGGCTAGCCTTTTGATGTTATTCTATGTCTTCCCACTTTTCTGTACATCGATTTCTGTGATTCTTCTCCAGATTCCACGCGGTCTTCCCCTTGATCTCTTACCCTGTGGGTTCCAATCCAAAACTTTCTTTGTTTTGCAGCTGCCTGACTTCCTGAGAGTATGTCCAATCCATCGCCACCGCCTTCTTCCTACCTCATCTCTGACTGGTATCTGTCTTGTTTTCCTTAACACTTCCACTTTGGTGACCCTGTCTGTCCATCTGATCCTCAGTAACTTTCTTAGACACCTGTTCAAGAAAACCCGGATCCTCTTTATAGCAAGTCTGTGATGCATTCCATGTAAAAGTTGTATATGAATATTTATACGATGATTTCGGCTGATTTTCTTTTCATTTGGTCGTTTGTTCCCTTCTATCAGCAGATAGTGTGGTCTGCAGCTTCTGCTTGCTTCCATTTTTTTTTTTTTAGGGTTCTTATCTGGTTCCATGCAATAGTAGCTACAATTATGCTGACCTCCTTGTACAACAGCTCAAAAAGCTCTATATTTGAGACGAAGAAGGGTGTGTAAAGCTTTTACCTTATGACATAGATGAAGTTGAGGATGTTATGCCTCCCCTCTTCGACACAATATTTAGATCTTTTAGCATTTTAGCTGCTTTGACTTTGCCTTTCAAGGCCAACCTGGACCAAAGAAATACAATACAGTGTCCTTCTACTCGTTCTATGAAATTTACCTCCTCATTTGGGAATAGGACTTTTATGTCTTCTGCATGCTTCGGCAAAGCACCCAATTGCTAAAACATAGACGCAGTATTGCTTTGACCTGTCTTAAAGTTAAAGTAAGGATTTTTTAAAAGAATGTTATGTGAGCATTCCTTTGGAGGAACTCAAGGCTTCAGATAAGACAAAGGTGAGATTCACGTTTTCCAAGGCAATACAACTAGTTTGCATTTCAGAGAAATTACTGAGAGCATTGACGATTTCCAGTTGGAATTTTAGAACATAGAATTCATTACATTTGGCCGTTTCAAAACTGCAGCCAGTTCTTCTGGTGGCCATGAAAAGGCTGAAAATGCCTTGGCAATGTCCGAGGTCAGATTTCGGTTGAATCGCGGTATTCTGAGTGGGAGCAGGGAGCAGGTGCATTGGTTGTTGTGAGCGTTTTGTTCAATTTGTCTGTGACCGAGAGCTGACGAAGGCAGACGTGTGCTTTCGATTGTCTTCTTTTATTTCGAGCTTTGAGTGCAAATAACAAAACAGACCCTTGACGATATGTTCATATTCAAATCTTCACTTTATTGTTTGGCCATTTCAACTCTCTCACCTCCCGGATGTTTAGTCTCCGGCCCTTATCTGTGTCCGTGTACTCCAGTGAGGAAAGACCAGTCGGGCGCTGTCACGGTCGTTTGGGCGGGTGGTTGGCGTGTGCTCTCTCGTGGTTTGCTCCTTCTTTCCATCGAACATGATCTATCATCTTTATCTCTCCTCCTCCCTTCTTTTCTTTTTTTTTTTTGGTTTGCTTGTTTGTTACTCATTTGTAACATCTAGATCTAATCCTCGCCACTTATATGACCCTGATTGTGTTGCGTGCTGTAAAAACGCTTTCTAAAACAAAGCTGCCACTTGTGGTGTACATCTGAGGTTGTTGGGTGGGTTAATGTTTTTTGCCCGTGTTTGTTGGTCCGCGGGCGGGATGAACATCCTAAGTTCTGCTCTGGAAAATCTTTTCCAGTTGTCTAAATGAGGGAAAGTTGAGGGCAGTGATATTTTAGAAATTATATCTATTGTCAGGTGAGCTGTTTATTTGGTGAACTTTGGTCCCGTTCTTTTGAGCGTTTTCACAACTCCTGTCCCCTGCCCCCACCCCCTTTGCGCATTTCCTGGCTCGTCATTTGAGGAGTGGACTTGAAACTTCAGTTTTATTATTTTAAGTAGCATGTAAAGATCTCGCCCTCTGACCTTGTGGAAAAGGGGAGTGGAGAACAGGCCATCGATATGTTATTAAAATATTCGGCCTTTCGAAAGGGCTGCACACCTGAGCTACCTGCTGTCCCCCTCCCCTCACTCCAGCCCATCAGTGCGCTTTAGGCCCGTTTCTGTCCA